CAGTGGCAACAGGAGGAGCTCGGTCCTCGGTATGTTTGCGAGAACTTGTATTGATTCGGCCTTCTTAACCTTTACAGTGAAATTGGCTAACGCAGCAGTATAAAATCCATCATGCATATCCGCAAACTGGAAGGTACAAGTCATATTGGTGACCCCGGCGTGATCCTGTCAGATTTGCCTAGTTATTGACTGTTCCCTGTCTGGGTCAAGTAAATTAGACAATCTCCTGTTAATGAAAATATTTTAACCATATTCTTCACTGGCGCGAAGTATTTCATTGTCGACCAGTAAGATAACAACATGAATGACAGGTACCTCAAAAACTTAAGAATATGGGATGACACTAACAACGTTGGGAACACCAACAAAGCCAAACACCGTCTCAGCTAACGAGGCCCATCCTCGTGACTTCCAATGACCTCAAAATGCTGTCCCTCTTCATGGAAATATGGGTTTGGCATGGGGGGCCAAGAAGGATGTGACGGTCCGCTCTCGCTGTCGTAAGAGCGGCCGTTTATCTATGCCGTCTTCGGCCCGCCCAACCTACTTGTCAATCCCTGCTTGCGAGCGTATGACTCAGCCTTCGGACTGCTGACGTCGGGATACCGATCGACACTTCTCGTCTCCATCGGTTGACCGCAATCGCACAATGCTCAGGTGCAGGCACAGATTTCGTGCCCGAGCAGACAACCCAAGTGGCTGACTCGGCTAGTGAGACCACTTGCAAATTTTGTGCCAACTGAGCCGTATGTACGCTCTCTCACCTCAGCAAAGATTGTCTAACAACTATGTCTTTCTTGACTTTTTATTTGGGAAGCCTCAGGGTGTATGTCAATAAGTACATGAACCAGATTTTGACGTTTCATCTCCTGCCCTGGATCCATCAGAAATTTTGACTGAAAGAGTGGTCGTCCAGCTTTCCTTATACCAACCATCTAGGCTACTCATTCTGAACAGGAAGTGAAGTATTGCACTGACATTTTGCCGTCAGTTATTAGGCTCGCGCAGGTGTTGCCGGAATCTTATTCTCGCAGCAGTAAGTATTCTAAAAGGCCGCAAATTTCTGTTCTCGGAAAGTTGCATAATTTTTAAAAAAAGATAGTCGTCGGTCAAGCTAGAGTAAATCGTAGTTGCTGGCTTATTTGTCTGGAGCACAGCAAGGTGTGGACCCAGACTCCGGACAATGAGTATTTAAATCAAAGACCCCACCATTAGGCCATGAGCTCAACGCTCCGTCCGCTGGGATTGCGAATATCAAGTCATTGGCGGGTGTCGAGTAACGATTTATTCTGTTTGCGGGACGGGACGAAGATGATGCCGTTTTGAAATGGAGTTCCCGCCCAATCTTCCTTGTCGCGTCAGTGACTTTCTCCGCCATCGATTGGTCTGGGGTACGCGGTCGCCTATGAGACCGACCAGCCGGAAAGCAAAACTGAACCGGTTCTGCCCCGCCCCGAAACCAGTACAGATCGATTATGTCCATTTCCTCGACCTTCTTTCTGCTTTTAAGTGTACTCAGTCTCCGTGTGCTCTCTTAGACTTCTAAATTATTGGATATCCCATCAATAAAATTCACTCTGGAAGAAGAATAGTCCGGTTCACTTCCCTTGCTGGATGTGCTTCTGGGTAGAAGGCCTCACGGCAGCATTCGACGTAGCGTCTATCGTAAGAAAGCGTGGTCCGGACAATACACCCATTTTAGGAGTTTCGTACAGCTGGATGTTAAACTTCATTTAGTCCGCTGTATGATAGGAATAGTGAGAAGAACCTGCTCATCTGATAGCGTTCAGAAAGAGCTTAAGATCATCGAAAGCCTTTTTCGCCAGAACGGGTATCCTGACCGATTCAATTCTAAGAACATGGCCGAAAGACCACCAAAGGCCCCGATGCTGACGTCAGGTAAGAAAAGACTCTTCATCAGGGTCCCATTTCAAGGGGACGCGCCAAGTGAACTTTTAAGAAGACGCCTAACTCAAGCTGTATCATAGACCTTTCCAGCAGCTGACACCCGTGTACTGTTTTCCACCAGTCCCATCCTATACGGAAAGGGCAAGGACAAACTACCAGCTCAGAACACCTCTCTGTGCATTTACCCCTTCACCTGCTCCTGTGGGGCAGAATATATTGGTCGCACGAACCGGCGTTTATCCAAAAGAATAAAAGAACATCTTCCAGCATGGTTATCAAAGGGTCAAATAAAGAACATCAACGGCTCGATCCTCGCTCACATGGAAGAAACAGACCACCTCGTGGACGCCAGAGGCCTATGTGCAGCGCTTGTTGGCTACGGCAGAGGCTGCGGCAATCAGGCTACGCGGACCGGTCTGCTGCTATGTGTGCGTCTGTGGTGTGGTCAATCAAGGCTATCGGACGGACTTTAAGGTCAAGGCGCGCGGGCTGAGAGGGTGGATGACCCTGAAGTAGTATGATGTTGAACAAAGGTGCTTTATACCACTTTGTCGGTCAGCAGAAGGTTGACGTGGACAGTGGGAAAATGAATAAAGGGTCGGCGTCACTCATTCTGTCGTGGTCAAGGATGTGGGACCAACTTAAACCACGCAATAATTTCGTTCCGTCGGATGCCAAAAGTCTGGGAGTTGTGAGAACAGGTTTACTCTGAACATTGGGCAGGTTGCCGATAATTGGCTGTTTGCTTGTGCCAGAGAAAAGCCTCCGCTCGGTCGCACGTCGGCAGCGGTGTGTTGCTTACGTGGTGTGAACGCCTGTGTCAGCAGGAGGAGGTGACGGGCTGTGTGTTGGTCGTGTGATTGGACGGATTAGGGGAGGAGTAAGGGGCACATACTCACAAGGGCTCACGAGCATCAAGTTAGACCGTCGGACACGCGTCAAATGAGGAGAGTTTGTGAGGGCAGTCAGGAGTCATTGCAGCTGGACAGGAGGGGCCTCAGTTCTAGCCGGCGGGGTGGCTGTGTGTCAGCGGTTGTCACAGACATCAACCGATAGAAGGGAACCGCTGAAGGAGGCACTAGAGGGGCTGCTACGATTCCTCTTATCCTCAATCCCGTTTCGCCACTAAAACACGACGCGGTCAGATTTGGTTGTGTAGCCCCATCTGAGGTAAACTAACCCCAGCCGCCTGTAATATGGGACCGGTGGTAACAGAGGTTTTTGCATATGGAGACGGGGAACGCACAGACGACGAGATCAAGCACTTGTATGTAGACGAATGAAGGCGAAATTTCGAGTTCCAGGTGTATACATATTTGAAGACGATGGACTCCTGTACGAGTCGGAAAGCTCAGGATAATAAACGAATTGTTCCGGTGCTCGATTCTTCTTCTTCTTCAAACTTGTATGTAGAATAAAAGCTATCGGGCATGCGCGGTTATACTTTGAATAGTTGAGAAATAATTGCCCCAACGCCTAACACCTAACCCTAACCCAACAGTATTGTGTCCATCAGGTGGAATCAAAATAACCAAATCTTACCTACGACGCGTGCGCAAAGACCAAAGTAAGGTAGCTATAACGCAAGTCCGGCCCGCCTTAATTAAGCTCACGCACAGGTCTTCATTGCTTCCACCGCCTCCTCCGAGACAGTGGCGTATGCGTCATCTTCGCCGATTGAACAGCCGGGTCAGACGGGACTCAGGCAGGATGATCAGTATCACTTCAGCCTGCCTGGCATAGGTCACAGCAGCATGCAACCCCTGCACTTCAACGGCTAAGCCTAAATACATGACCTGAGATCTGACATTGTGCCACCACACGACAGTTCGACTGTCGTTCCGACGATGCCCACCGTGTGCTGCCCAGCAGGGTGGGCGAAGGGACGGTGGCTTGCGCGTGAGTTATAGTGGTGATGACCTTGTCCTGCATCCACCACATCCCCTCCTCCTCCTCCTCCTCCTC